CCTGTATTAGGACCCTTGGAGGTCCAGAATACCCCATGTCTGTGCATCTCGGGAATTGGTGAAGGTTTTGGATTGAAATCCTTATGCCTTAGGTCAACATGTGAATTATAAGTCTTGGGGTGTAGCATGAGCACCGAAATGAGGACCATACATAATGGATCAGTCTAGGAAGGCCAGACCTATGAATGGTCGGAGCAGTTCCGACCTTAGGGAGCAGTTTGAGCGGCTGCATGGCATGGACTCGCCGAGTCAGATGAGCAGACTCGGCGAGTAGCTTGAAGAATAACTGGGACTCGTCGAGTTGTTCCTCAGACTCGGCGAGTGGAGTCGGGGTGGCCCCGCGATTCTTCCAGGAGTAACTCGTCGGGTCAAGGAGGATACTCGACGAGTAGAAGGGAAACCTTAGAGGATTGGAGGACGACTAGACTCGCCGAGTCGCCAGAGTACTCGCCGAGTCCGGTCGAGTTGACCGTGGACCGTTGACCAGAGTTGACCCATGTGTGATTTCTTAGGGTCAGTTAACGTGGAAGATAAAAGTATTAATAAGAGATATATGATGTTATAGGGAGCTTGTAGCTCGGCGGATCAAGTACGAGGGATTTCAGGAGTTGCTAACTTTCAGTATCCGCGAGGTGAGTCTTCTCACTATACTGTACCCGGAAGGGTTTGACTGTGTGACCGGAAGGTCGGATATGATATGTGTTATAAGTGCTATAAATGGAAAGGTAATTGCTATGCGTGCTATGTATGTTTATATGGGCCGGAAGGCAATATGTTATGTGACCGAAAGGTCGGATATGATATATGATATATGTGCTATATGTGTTAGGATAAATGTATTATGTGTTGTGTATGTTTATGGGCCGGAAGACAAAATTTTATGGGCCGGAAGGCGAAAATGTTACGGGCCGGAAGGCGATTATGTTAAGGGCCAGAAGGCGGGTTGTGTTGTGGACCGGAAGGTCAGGGCCTGGAAAGGCGTATATGCGTAAGTTGTATATTGGGGAACTCACTAAGCTTCGTGCTTACAGTGTTTTGTGTTATGTTGTTTTCAGGTTTTTACAGTAACACGGGATGGCACCGGCTCGATTGTACACACCAGAGGAAGAGTCAAATTTTGGAGGATCCTGGTTTTCTATTCAAGTGAAAATGAAACTATGCTTTGTAATTCAATTATGAACGAGATTTTTAACAAGTGTTTTAATATTAAAATGATTATTTTAAATGAAAATTTTGCCTTGAAATTTACGGTGTTACAAATTGGTATCAGAGCCTTGGTTTGAGGGATTCGGATGCGCCTTCGGGTAAATCTGGACTCAAACTGAGGAAGTAAGAAAAAGTTTTCAATTAAATGGTTTTCTAAAAGTGAATAAGAGTTCAAATAGAAAGCAAGAAAGAGCAGTGTGTACAATCAGCCAGAGCCAAACGGTGATTTCCCAAAATACCCTTACTTTTGTGTTATGAAATATCTATGATGCACTTTATGAGATATTATTGCATGCTAGAGACAGGCTAGGTATTTCATATCTTAGGACTAGAGTGGCCTGATTTGTGATGCCTTAGCGTAGGGTTTGTTGTTATATGTGCGTTATGCTTTTGAGTATGTGATGAGGGAGAGTATCAGTTAGAACGTACGAGGGGTAGAGTTACAGAGTTCAGGGGTATTTCCGAGGATGAGCCGAGAAGGTGGAGTTATCACAGATAAGGAGTCCTATGTATTCTTCGATGCTCGAATGCTGCTTGCTTTGTGCTTAGTGGAACTCTCGATGATGGGAGTCAGCTACTAAGTGAGTATGACGATATTCAGGAGGTAGATGGCTGACATCATTAGGAGCTCTTCAGCAGCTGATAGCAAAGAAGTGGGAGGACGACGGAAGAGGCTAGGGAATAAACCTAGCCAGATGAGTGCGCTGGTAAAGTAGAGGATTTCGTTGGAGAGCGGGCACGTGCGATGGGATTGGTGAAAGAGCAGGTTGAACAGCTACTTAGGAGCTCCGGGATGGTCCGTGTGGAAAGTATGGGTAGATGTGGCAGGTAGTATGGGCCCGTACTACTGAAAGCAGAGGACCCATACTTGATACATGGAGCATTCTGAAGGTCCTAAGGAACGGATTGAGGAGTGATGCTATGGTTCAGGTACCATACATCGGATCAGATTGAGGAGTGATGCTATGGTTCGAGTACCATACATCGGAGCAGGTTGAGGAGTGATGCTATGGTTCGAGTACCATACATCGGAGCAGATTGAGGAGTGATGCTATGGTTTGAGTACCATACATCGGAGCAGGTTGAGGAGTGATGCTATGGTTCGAGTACCATACATCGGAGCAGGTTGAGGAGTGATGCTATGGTTCAGGTACCATACATCGGAGCAGATTGAGGAGTGATGCTATGGTTCGAGTACCATACATCGGAGCAGGTTGAGGAGTGAAGCTATGGTTCGGGTACCATACACCGGAGCATATTGAGAAGGGATGTCATGGGATGAGTACCATGGTTCGTAGTGAATGATGCTTGTGATTATCTTGTTATCCGGTCATGATCGAAGAGGTAGAGAACGGACGCTAGGGGTTTTAGGCCCGTAGACCCTGATTGAGTATGGAGAGGCGTTTCTCGAGAGGAAAGGCGAGTGCCTATCAGAGTATTTTGGTAAGGAGTTAAAGGGAGACGAAAATTTCGGTCTGAGTCGAACAATCAGTCGATAGAGGAGAGGTCACCTTCTAGGTGGGTAGTGCCATTTATGTTCGTGTGCAAAACACGAGAGGTCGGATGTTTCAGTTTTGGATTTGGGGGTACACCCTGCAGGTCGTTATCAATAATGATTTCCTCAGAGTATCAGGTAGCAGGAGTGCCACGAGGCAGTGACTTATCGGGAGCAGACAGTCAGTTGGGACTGAGGTAGTCAAGGACCACACCACACCTAATTGAGAATAGTAGGTTGTGTTATAGTGGTAGCAGTGGGGAGTTCAGTCGAGTTTTGCAGTGCAGAGAGTTTTCGTCTATGTTGGGAGTGGGTCCCTGTCCTTGGGACAATTCCGGCGTTGGAACATCGGTTGATGAGTTGAGGTGAGAGGAGCGATGATTTTGCGGTGCAGTCTATGAGCCAGGGATGTTATTGACCAGTTGAAATGCTTAGTGTTAGATTGGTATGGGATTTGGAACGATTAGAGGCAGTCGTGATAAGAAGTTCTTGGAGAGTTAATCAGAGGTTCAGGGTATAGGGGTTGATTGATTTCCTTAAGGGGGGATTATCGGGCGTTGCGTAGCACTTTCCTGGAGCAGGTGCAATTTCGCTGGTGAAAAATAGTCGTGGGTTGGTTGTGTGCTAATTGGTGATGGTTCGAACCCTAAGTGGGGGAGAACCGGGTGCAGTATGTAAGAAAGCAAAGATTTGTCAAGAGTAGTTATAAGTGGAGTATAGAGATATGCTGTAAGAAATCATGAGACCAGAGATGTCGGTGATCGAGGAAAAGGGGTCAGAGTGAGTTAATGCGAGAAGTACCTGAGGAGGAGGACGAATGTATCCGTGACAGGTGATTGGTGTTGTTGCAAGTAGATAGAGAATGATTGGGCGGCCAACTCCCAGGGTCGGTATGCGTATCCTTGTTTGGATCTTGAGCGTCGGGAAAAAGAGTTTCGGAGAATTATCAGCATATTTTGTAGCGTCAGCGTTTTCTCGTATTCCAATCGAGAAATTATATGCACCAAAGTTGTAATGTGGGAAAAATGTAGATCTAATTATGGGGTTCAGAGGAGATGTATTATTGTGTCTATATGATGCTTGGGGCAGGAGATCAGTGGTTGTGGCAGGATCTTGTGATGTTTTGTTGGGGTATTCTGAGATATCCGGGTATGATATCTTTATTTCGGAGTTACTTGTGAATCCTGAATTGAATCGACATGTGGCATATCAAGTATCTGTGAATCTAGTGGGAGCACTGGTGCTCGATCTAGTGGTATTTTTATGGGGATTCTCTCTATCGCTGTAGGATCCCTATTCAAGATCACTGCAGTTCCTTTTCGGGCGGCTGTAGGACGGCCGGCCGCCTATAGGTGGTAGGGTAGGGTGGGTGGTACCGCTCAGATTGCGGCCAATCTTCCTAACCGCGCGCGGGCCGGGCTTAGAGCGTGTGAAACTCATCACTACCTCGTAAGGGCGTTGAGACCATAGCATGTTACTTCGAGTATGAGCATCCAGGGAGATTATTTGAGAGAGTGGATTTTCGCAAAGAGGGGCATTTGTTATGTTGATTGCCTCCAGAGTCTGTGATGGATATTCGAGCCATAGTACTCCCTACTCAGAGGGTGTTGTGATGCTGCGTGGAGCTGCAGTACTCACTAGATGGCAAGAGAATTTCGATGTTGTAATGTTTTTCGAGCAGTGCATGATGTGGAAGAGTTGGGTTTGAGTAGCCCTGGTATTGAGTCCTTGGAGCTTGGATGTTGAGTCGGGGGCGAGACGGGGGTCTCCGTCTCTGTCAGGAGATGTGGGGAGATACGCAGGGAATATGCGGAGCAGAAACCAGAGATTTGAGTTGAGACGATCCTCGGTTGGATTGTATTTTTCTCGCATGAGGAAAAGAGGATTTCGTGACTTGCATGTCACTGGGCCGGGATAGTGGTCACGGGGAGGAAGTTAGTGGGACACTTGGATCATGATATGGGTGACGTTGGGGGCTCAACTATGGAGCCAAATGCTGACCTGGTACTCAGTCTTGAAGAGGAATATGAGAAAGGAGATTATCCTGATGACATCTAAGGACACTTTAGAGAGAGTGAACGATTCAGACGCTCGAAGACATGCTTCAGGCATGTGTATTAGATTTCGGAGGAAGCCGCGGTACGTATTTATCCTTGGTTGAGTTGTCTCATATCAACAGCCATCATTAGTGCATTGGTATGCCGCCCTTTGAGCTGTTGCGTAGGAGGTGATGTCGGACCCTTATTGCTGAGGAGAGGTAACGCATGGACCTGAGAGTCCTTCCGAGCAGATCCAGAGCATGTGCGATACATGGAGTAGTGGCAAGGTCGTCAAGAGGATTTCCCTAGGTAAGGGAAGAGGAAGGTATGTTGGGACTAGTGCAGCATGTGTATGCGAATACAAGAAGGGAACTCGTGAGAGTTGCTCTGAGAGTGCGAATGGGTCTCTCAGTCGTTCCGAAATGGATAAAGTGGGTTTTGGATCGGGGATCCAGTGATTCATGGTTTCCTAACCCTTATGGGTCGAGTGATCGTTGAGATTTGGAGCAGAATTGCATCGTGGGTAATTCTCGGTTACATGGAGTAGTGGGCAGTACAGAGATCGTGCTTCAGTCGACAGAGCAGATTCAGTAGGTTAAACAGAGGTTATTGATCGTCTATAGCTGACAGAAAAGTTATGCAGACAGACGCCGGTCCGAGCTTGAGTTTCAGGTCGGCGACTTCGTACTCCTGAAGGTCTCTTCTGGAAAGGGGGTGATTCGATCCAGGAAGAGGGGCAAGTTGGGGCCCCGGTATGTTGGGCTTTTTCGTGAAATTGTGAGGGTAGGACGGGTGGCCTACCGTTTGGAGTTGCCAGTGGAATTGAGATAGATCCACGACACTTTTCATGTGTCGCAGTTGAAGAAGTGTATAGTCGATGAGTCAGCAGTGGTTCCACTAGAGAACATTTAGGTGGATGCGAGCCTGAGTTATGTTGAGAGACCAGTGGCCATCAGGGATCGGAAGATCAAGGTCCTGAGGAACAAGGAGGTACCTCTGGTGTTGGTTCAGTGGCAACCCCAGAAGGGATCGGAAATGACTTGGGAGTCGGAACGTGAGATGCGGGAGCAGCATCCGAAACTATTTTCAGAGTGAGACTTCGAGGGCGAAGTCTGATTCTAGTGGGGGATAATTGTAACAGCCCAGAATCTCAAGTATTGTTAAAATTATATTTTGGGGTGTTTTAAAGGGGGGACTCGGCGAGTTGGAGCCAGACTCGCCGAGTAGGATCGCAGACCTGGTCGCGGCTTCGCGACTGGGCTCGACGAGTCAGATAGGGACTCGGTGAGTCTGCGCAGTTTAGCGAAAACCCTAGCCGTTTAGGTTTGGGACGTATAAAGGGGACTTATTGGCCGTCATTGTTCGTTTTAGCCTTCTGGGAGGAACCCTAAACCGATTGTGTGCATCTGGAGCAAAGCTAAGGGCCATTGGTGATTTTGAAGGAGTTGTTGTGCAAAGAAGAGAAGGGCTTGGCTAAAGGAACAGCAAGGGGGTCACATTCTGAGGATTGGGGACACAGAGAGCACATTATCCAGGTAAGAATTCGTGTATACTCTGCTATGGTGATGTATTTGGAGGATTAGGGTTTATGGAACCCTTTTATGGATAGATTGAATGTTACCCTTGTTCCCCAAACGATTGTAACCCTGTATTAGGACCCTTGGAGGTCCAGAATACCCCCATGTCTGTGCATCTCGGGAATTGGTGAAGGTTTTGGATTGAAATCCTTATGCCTTAGGTCAACATGTGAATTATAAGTCTTGGGGTGTAGCATGAGCACCGAAATGAGGACCATACATAATGGATAAGTCTAGGAAGGCCAGACCTATGAATGGTCGGAGCAGTTCCGACCTTAGGGAGCTGTTTGAGCGGCTGCATGGCATGGACTCACCGAGTCAGATGAGCAGACTCGGCGAGTAGCTTGAAGAATAACTGGGACTCGTCGAGTTGTTCCTCAGACTCGGCGAGTGGAGTCGGGGTGGCCCCGCGATTCTTCCAGGAGTAACTCGTCGGGTCAAGGAGGATACTCGACGAGTAGAAGGGAAACCTTAGAGGATTGGAGGACGACTAGACTCGCCGAGTCGCCAGAGTACTCGCCGAGTCCGGTCGAGTTGACCGTGGACCGTTGACCAGAGTTGACCCATGTGTGATTTCTTAGGGTCAGTTAGTGTGGAAGATAAAAGTATTAATAAGAGATATATGATGTTATAGGGAGCTTGTAGCTCGGCGGATCAAGTACGAGGGATTTCAGGAGTTGCTAACTTTCCGTATCCGCGAGGTGAGTCTTCTCACTATACTGTACCCGGAAGGGTTTGACTGTGTGACCGGAAGGTCGGATATGATATGTGTTATAAGTGCTATAAATGGAAAGGTAATTGCTATGCGTGCTATGTATGTTTATATGGGCCGGAAGGCAATATGTTATGTGACCGAAAGTTCGGATATGATATATGATATATGTGCTATATGTGTTAGGATAAATGTATTATGTGTTGTGTATGTTTATGGGCCGGAAGACAAAATGTTATGGGCCGGAAGGCGAAAATGTTACGGGCCGGAAGGCGATTATGTTAAGGGCCGGAAGGCGGGTTGTGTTGTGGACCGGAAGGTTAGGGCCTGGAAAGGCGTATATGCGTAAGTTGTATATTGGGGAACTCACTAAGCTTCGTGCTTACAGTGTTTTGTGTTATGTTTTTTTTAGGTTCTTACAGTAACACGGGATGGCACCGGCTCGATTGTACACACCAGAGGAAGAGTCAAATTTTGGAGGATCCTGGTTTTCTATTCAAGTGAAAATGAAACTATGCTTTGTAATTCAATTATGAACGAGATTTTTAACAAGTGTTTTAATATTAAAATGATTATTTTAAATGAAAATTTTGCCTTGAAATTTACGGTGTTACAAATTCAATATGTCTATAGGAGAAGAGAACCCTAGGTAACTACCCGAAGGAAACCAATGCTGGTCCCAGTCAAAGATACGAGGTAGACAGAGGGAGCCAGTGCATGGAACCCGAGAAGCGTCTTTTCCTCGTGTTCGTCATGCTAATGCACTCATAAAATAATACAAATTTAGTGAGTTAGTGATTACACTACTCATGTTATGTGTTAGGTAAATCGCCTTTTTCCCGTTGCAAGTAATACGATTAGAGCGGACCCCCACACCTCTATTGAGATTGTTTGGCCATAAGTCTTCATGAGCCTTTCTTCACGCGGTCTTCGTTCTAAACTGTTCTCAAATCTTTCCATTCCGGAGAGTGAAACCTTTCCCAGTATAAAGGTAACTTAGTAGGAACGACTCCCATCTTATGGATTTTTCTGATACTCATACTCCTACCATGAATACCTGGACTACATCATAGGGATGTAGGTCGAAACTCAGACAACCAATATCCAAAGCACGGGAAAAATTTATGCCTAATATAGTAAGGACAAATACGTCCAGGGTTAACCATCGTCTCTCATCAGCTTGTTTTCCTTTCCGTGTAGGAAAACCATGCCTCCGAGGAAGCGTAACCCATCCGCCAGAAATAAACTGACTCTACTATTCGATGAATCTGCTTTCCAGGCTGCAGTCTCGGCAGCCGTTGCAGCTGCCATGGCTCGACTGAATGCCAACAACGCAAGTGTCAGCAAGAGCCATATCGGGAATTCCAATCCCAACAATGGACAGCATCAACCAACACCTACATACCTAGCCACTCAAGAACCTCAACCAACTCCACTGAAGAGAAAGTTTAAGAACGAGGAAGGAAGTACCTCGACTACAGGACCTTCCGAAGGGCAACGAGCCGAGACAGTCAATACACCTGTAAATCCTTCCATCCCGACTTCAAGAAGACCATACCTAGGAATCCTTCCCCCACTACAGCAGGTGTAGCTGCCATCATCATGGTGTATGTCGGGAACTCGGTTGTACTAGGTGCAACATGAAGGGGCATACCGCTCGTGTCTGCAGGACCTCGGTTGAGTTTATTACATCAACCACCAATGTGGGGCCCAGTCCAGTTTGCCGTCTATGTGGTGAGATTGGACACTTCAAGAAGGACTGTCCAACCGTATTTCAAACCTTCTGAAGTACCCAGGAGAAAGGTACTGCGCATTGTTAACCAACCCCTCTTAGATAGATAGAAACCAAAGCGAAAGGCACTGCAGGCATCCCGAAGACGATAACCACCCGAAGCAGACACCGTAGAAACCCCAGAAAGACCCTTCGCACCTTGCAATCAGGTTCGTGAATCAAGAGGATAAAACTCATGGGACTGACCACTATAATTGAGTGTATGCATAAGGGTGGTATATAATTTAGATCAAAAAGATTTAAGATGTGTGCTTCCTCCCTACTCCCTGTTCCTCGTTGGGTTGTGGGTCTGGGGTTGAGTCGCAGAACTGAACGTCCTGCCGACCTCAATTATATATGTCTTGCATACACCGAGTATTAGTGGTTAAGCCAAGTATGAGCTCTACCATGAACCTCATAGTAAATCCCTTCATCCTATTCCATAGAATAGGAGCTAGAGTCAAGAGAACCATTGCGAGTTGAGCTACTATAATGACCACAAATCCGAGATTTGTCGTCATCCCGGTTAAGCCAACATAGTAGCTAATACCCTCAGTTGGTAAAGAAATCTGAGTCGTAAGAGTCAAGGACATTGACTAAGACCATCCATTCACGCTTAATCCCCCGAATTGAGCATCTCAGTGAATATCCTAGAAACCTGGAAACTTTTATAAGTTAAACTCTGAGAAGAGTGGATGAGGAGATTAAAGTTCCAAGTGATGGAACCCTATACTCACCAGATTTCACCTAGATCGAGAAAACTCAGACCCTTCAGAAGAAGAGTTGCTGAAGATGTTCGCACTAACTCAGGAACTTCGTCCACCCCGTTACCGACGAGTAGTGCCTAGGACATTCCACCCCCTTACGTGGGAAAAGTCATCGTTGCCATGTAGACGATAGACTGCATTCTCCGAAGCGTACACTAGAATACCAAGAACCACAGGATACTTTAAGACTTATAACCCAGATCTCGAAGAGATTATAGACTTGACACCAGTCTAGGTGTTAGTCGATGGGTTATACAAGAGCACATGCTTTCCGCACTAAAATAAACGAACGCAATGGAGAATAGGACATGTCTTAGAGATTCATTGGACTACTAGGTGTTCCACGAATACTATCTCACACAGAAATAGTAGAACCACCTCCCGAGATAGTCCAACACTCGTCTAGTAAAACCCTATCTCCCCGACCCTGAGGGTTTCCGTTAGAAATATCTCAAGAATCAGAAGTGCAGGTTCATTTTGCACAAGATTGAGATAGACACTCTGCAGCAAACTGTCACATCCCGCTAAAGCGGAAACGCAAGGTATGACAACGATAACGGTTTCATTGCAAAAGATAAAGATACATCACCATAGCAGTATTTAAAAGTTTACAACCCATAGCTTCAAAAGAAACAAAATACAAGTTTTTCAAAATAACATTGTTCAAAATATAACTTCATAATAGCTTCAACACGATGCAATATGCTCTCTAATGATGAATCTTTACATCCACTTACTAATTATTTCCTGAAAAAGCATGCAAAACGAGCGTCAACTATGAAAATAGTTGGTGAGTTCACAAGTTTATAAAATCGAGGGTACAATAATGCTTTTCATAAATACAAGTACTTTGCTTCAATGATAAACAAGTTGATTGCTATTAATGAATACAAGTTTATTGCTATAACGAGAAACGAGTTTGTATGTGTATGAGCAAACAATGAGTCTCAACCAAACCTATGACTGAAGCCCTACCGAGATCTATGCTTATCGTTCCATAGATGAATATGGTATCATGCACTCCAGCGATTTGGGCGAGTGAGGAGTTGTCAATTCCTAATAGCGCTATCCATAATGACCATTGGCTCAAAGAGTTAATGGTTAGAGATAAGGGAAGGGCCTTAGTACGATAAGTTCTCATGTTCCGTGTTGCATAAACATACATAGCAGTACAATAGCAATCAAGTTTGATAATAAACAATTTAAATACATCATGCAAACAATAGTTTTTTCTGGACATGCTTTTCCACCCCAAAACATAAAAACCGAAAATAGGGGAGTGCGTGAATACTCACAATGTTTCGTGTAGGCACAAGCGGTACTTCGGGATGCACCAACGTCTTACTACCGGGATCCTACGACATCAAACACACACACTAGTGAGTTTCCATGTCGATATCTAATGCTAATATACTAAACTCTACATATAGGGAAATGCCAATTTATGTTTTAGTATTGTATTTTATATCAATTGGTTACACTTTTTCTGGAATATTGAAATTTTACAAGTCGTGTGATTAATTACAACTTTGGAAAATTAATTTTCCATATTTTTTTAAGTCTCTATAACAACATAAATTCACGAAAAATAGCATTCGAGGGATAAAAATTCTCAAAACTCTTATTTACCTGTTATTAGTCAATACTAAGCTGGGAAAAATATAAAAATGGAATTTCAAGCTGTTTAATTATATTTTATAATTTTTGAGCATTTATTCCAATAAAAATTGAAATAAATAGAAAACAATTTCCAAAATTACCCAAACTTTTTATTTAACTGTTATTATACATAACTAGACTAGGAAAAATATAAAAGATATATTTCAGTGGGTATTTCTATTTTTCCTTGTTTTATTTCTTTAAATAGTCATTAATTAAAGAAATAATACTAAACAGTTAAAATAAATCACCAAAATTTTTTGTAACATCATTTATAGTATAAATATCCTGGGAAAAATATCAAAAGTGGTTTTCATATTGTATAAACTGGTTTTGGGTATTTATGTGTATTTAAGTGCATTTTAATGCAATTAACTTTAGAAAATAAGAGAAAAATAGTTTACAGAAGAGAAAAATCCTCAAAACTTTTATGTAACCTACTACTATATAATATGATATCCTGGTAACTTTTCATGAATTTTGGATAATCAGAACTATTTTTCCCATTTTTAGACCATTATAATTACCAAAAATTGGGAAAAATAGTAAGACATGATGAAAAATCTTGAAATTATTTTCTGGAGTCACCATTTATAGGTAAGGTAAGCGAAAATTGTTTGATACAATTTTCACATTCACTAAAGTGGTTTTGTGATTTATTATGCCCAAATAAAAGAAAATCGGAAATCGTACTAAACAGTAATAAAAATTGATGAAATTTTGTGAGGGATCATTATTCGCCATACGGATCATCCATGAATTTATGCAGGATTTATTGACCTCTGGAAGTATATATATGATTTATGCCCTTGGTTTTAGCAATAATTTTAATAAATCAAGGAAATAATAAAAGCTCTTGAAATTTTCTAGATTATCTCATGCATGTGAGGGATTTCAAAAGGAAAAATGTTAAAAATGTATTCAGAAGAGAAATGAGGGTAATGAATCTAAACAAATTAAGAAAGGTTGCATGTAATGATGCATGAAATGTAGATGTGGCTGAAGTTCATGAACTCGTGTAGCCCATTCAGTGAGGTTTTAAGCCACGAAATTTCAGCAATCATTCACTAGAAATGTTAAGTTTCTAAGGTATATTACCTCAGATTTATGGTTGGGTTTAAGACCATTGATTATGCAAGACAAAAATAGTGATCACAGAAAAAGAGCTGTATGTGCAACCATTTTGTAAAAATTTCCAAAAATCGAATATTTAATATTTTATAGTAAGACCAGTTGGGTTTGAAAGTTAACTCGTGGACCTAACCAATACAAAAATAATATCATGATTTGGTTAAGAAATGACGGAGTTATGGCCGTTCAAATTCGAACAAAGTAATCTGGCAGATTGCATGTTTGCTTGTGTGCATTATTAGGGTATTTCAACAAGAACATCATGCATGTCTTTGGTAAGGTCCGATTTCTAACACATGCATGGAATGAATGAGCATCCAAGATGTACTAGAAATGGTTTAAATGCTTTTGGTCATGCATGGGCATAAAAGAAATGGAGAAGAACATGAAATATTAGGTTTTGATGTCACATGATCATATGTGCATCTTTTTCACTCCTTGCC